AAGATCAAGGTCAAAAAATGCTGATGCAGTTACATAGCTCTCTTCAATATCTATCAGCATATGAAGTTTGATAAAAATATCTTCGCTAGTTTCTTTGAAACTGAGGTTTAAACAGAGCTAAACGCAAAGCATGACGGAAAAACGGACGGAAGGATGAAAGGACGTAAGGACGGAAGACGGACATGACAAACAATATATGCACCGGCCATATTCATGGCGGGGCATAAAAACAAGGTAAAAAATTTTGTTTGCATGCACCCTTTCTCCATACCACCTCTCCATGTTCCAAGATTGAAGTTTTAATGTCAAAAGGTTCTTAAGTTATGGTTTGGAGGTGTTTTTCTCAATTTGACCTTGAATGAAGAAAGGAGTGAAGGTCAAAATTTTAGTGCAGTGCATTTTTTGTAAATGTCTTTTTTCTATGTTACACATTTGAAATTCTAATGTGAAAGGGTTCTCAGGTTATAGCCTGGACTATATTTTTATGTAAAGATTGACCTTAACCTTATCGAAAGGTCAAGGTAAAAAAAGTCTGGTGGCCTCAACCCCAATTCCATACCACCTCTCCATGTTTAAAGTTTGAAGCCTTAATGTCAAAGGGTTGTCAAGTTAAGGCTCGGACAAAATTTGATTGAAGAAGAGAACTGACTATTATAGTCTACTTATTGCATAAAACCTGTAGGAGTAGTTTTGAAAGAACAAATTTGTTTCTACATTATGTAATGAAACTTTTACATAAGATTCAACTTTTCTTGCGGAGGAATTTGTGGTTCTTGAGGAGGAATTTTACTCTTATACAGTAAAGCATGCTTATAGCAAAACAAGCCTATAATGAATTGACACTTACAGCAAAGCGATTTTCATTCCCGGTGAATTTAAAATTTATTGTAAACTTGATGGATATAAGCAAAATCGTCCGTCCCAGGCACTTTGTTATAAGCGTGCTTTACTGTACATTCCAATGTTTACAAAACTATGATCCCCTATTGTGGCCGCATCCTACACCTGAAGGTCATGATTTGGACAAAGTTGAATCTACACTAAGTAATGAAGGTTCATAATAATTTTAAACTTTTCTGGCCCAGTGGTTCTTCAGAGGAAGATTTTTGAAATAATGTTAAATTTTCACTCATTCTTATCTCCCCTTAACAGAAGGTTTGGTCCTTCATTTGAACAATTGTTTAACACAAAAAAGAATATTTTGCATGAGAAATAAAACTCTGTTTTTCTAAATATTTCATCACACCTCTAGCGTGTTTCTTATTTTAACTAAGATAATGATGATTTAATCCTGACTGTTCAACTCTGTACGGCCTATGTATGATAATTAAACCCTGAGGGGTATGTTTACCTGTCTTCAACAAGTCAGGTGATTGTTCACAGTGAGTACTTTCAGGCATAATTGATCAAGTTCATTTCTGCCTACTGAAAATACTGATCTTGAGCAAATTAATGGGAGTTCCAAGTGAAATTTTAAAAAAACCATGTTAAAAGACTTCTGGCTGTGTCCTTTTGTAATTATAGATTTAGATCAAAGACAAGATAGTGAGTAAACTTAATTTTTTCTGGGAGGGATATCATTCTTGTTGCAGTATGAATTAGTGTAAAATCCTAAAAAGTCATCAATTAAAAAACAATTGTCTTATAATTCCACTTTAATTTTGACTCAAGTAGATGTTAGAGAGAGAGAGAGAGAGAGAGAGAGAGAGAGAGAGAGAGATTACTCCAAGTATATAGCCCCATGCAAAATATACATATCTGTGATAGCAAATTCTCAGGAGACAATTTTTGAAAAGCAATTTTCCTTCATGCATTGTTTTCAGAAAACTCAAAGCTCAAATACCCATGTCAACATAGTGCAACTTTCATCTATATTGATAAAAATGTACATGAAAAAAAAGTATGATTAAATAGCTAAATCAAAGTGTTTTGAATGGCAAAACCAAGCTATACCAGTATAGCTAATTCATCTACAGAGCTTAATCAATTTTAAGAGATTGTGCAAGACCTGTTTTAATTTTTAATCATTCTTAAAATATCTATATCACCATTCCTGATTCAAGGAAAAGCTAGGCATATGACCAAAAAAGTCCACGATCTATTGATTTAATAAAGACATATGTATGTTGTGAGAATATCAGTAAATTATGATGACAAGTGGGAAACGGCCAGGTTAATATTCACAAATTTTAGGAGTTTTCAACATTTAAGACCATGCAGACATAACTCCCCCTTTTCCCCCTTCCCAGCCCCAGACTCGTTTATTTATACAAATTATTTATAACTTGTTTTGGTATAAAATAAATTGTGAATAATACAAAAATGTACATGTACACAAAGTATAATGGCGGGTCTCTGAATGATTTTCATTTTCTAATTCTAGGAGGTTGGACTGACCCTAGGGGGTCCTGAATAAAATGCCACGCAGATTATCACTAACACACTTTTGACGCAGGTCATATTGTGATCATTTCCAGTTTCAGTGTGAGGATGACTTCAAGGGCCATAACCTTTATATCATTTAATGCATAATGACCCGAGGGACAATATTATATATGATTATTAAGGGGAGAGTTTTCAACCATTTTCAAGATACAATGTATATGATCATTTGAAGTTTTAGGGGTTGGGAATGACCTCTGGGGGTCATGACCCCATATATCCTATTTAATGTGTTATAATACAAAGATGACTTAGGGGCTTTTGCTCTAATGAAAGCTATTTTATTGTTTCCGGTTCCAAAGATCTAGTGGAATGACCCCAGGGACTTGCCTCATTGTATAATTTGTACAATTGTGGCATTCCAATGATCTCTGACCCTTTTCCACCTATAGGTCCCTAACCATTTTCATTTCCGATTATTTTACCCCGTTCTAGTCGACCGTGTGGCGCAGTGGTTAGAACGTCTGCTCTAGAGTCGTGGAGTAAGGCGTTGATCCTTAAGTCGCCGATTCGAATCCACTGCGGGACGTGGAGACAAGTTCTAGGGATGAGACTGTATAAACCGAGGTCCCGTGTTGCAGTGGTTATTGGCACAAAAAAAGATCCCTCACTGTTCAATGGACCTAAGTGTCGACCATACGTTAAAATTTGCAGCCCTCCACCGGCAAGTGGTGGGATCTCCATATGAGTGAAAAATTCTCGAGAAGGACGTTAAACAACAAACAAACCCCGTTTCTATACTAAACCTTTAAAATAATATATTCATAATGTACTTACCCCCTGTTATAGGTACTGTTAACTTGATAGAATAATAAATCCATTTAAAACACACACTAAATATTAATAGTCCCAGTGGTAATAATGATGCACCTACACCATTTGCAAAACAATAATGATAACGGTAAAAGTAGTGCTCGCAGTGTGACGTAATTCCATGCACGAGTCTAGAAATTTTCCAAAAAGGTGTACATTTGTAAAATTTATATTATAATTACATACATTTTTTTTTTCATAAGTTTGTGTTATCTATTCTAAATTTGACAGGAAAACGGGTGAACCGTGGGTGGGGGTTGATTTTTGACAAAGTTGATTAGGTCAAGATTTGGAAAGGGTTCTCCGAGTCCTACCCAAATACTGATAAAAATTTGCACAAGTTGTCATTTTGTCATCTAATTTTTTTTTTAAGTTCATCAATAAAGCTATGCACTAAAATAATAATATTTCTTGTTTTGGCAATAAATTCAAGAAGTTCCAATTATGGGTAGAAATTAACCAACCCCCTTTTTTTACACAAATCTTTTAAAAACTCTCTCTTTATCAGAATTTACATTATTAGGTAATATCTGACTGGTAATGAAATATTTACATACGCGGATCTAGAGGGGCAGGAGGGGGGGGGGCGGAACCTATATACGAAATCTATACAAAAAAAGTTATACATATGAAGCTTAAAAAGTGAACGGCCAATCCCCCCCTCCCCCACACACACCACCACCACCACCATGAAATAGCATTTGGAGAGGAGTTTAAGTGTTGTTTTTTTTTGTTTTTTTTTTTGTTTTTTTTTTTTTTTGTTTTTTTGTTTTTTGTTTTTTGTTTTGTTTTGTTTTTTTTTTTTTTTTTTTTTTGCTTGTCAAGAAATTTCTGAGTTGGATCCCCCTGGAAAAAATGGATCCGCAACTGATTTACATATGCAGCCCATATGGGCTGCATGTTCACCTGATCATTTTATGCTTGATTTAAATGTGTGCGTCTTCCCTGGTTACCAGAATTTGAAGGAGAGCAGTCACTCAGAGCACATTTCAGGGACGTAGCAACGTTTTTGAAAGGGGGGGGGGGCAGAGAGAAAAAAAACAACTTACCTGAAAAAACTTGACAAGCCCCCCCCCCCCCCCCAATTTTTTTTCAAAACTCAAAAATCCTATTTCGTGGGGTGGGGGTGGGCTCCAACTTTTTTCAGTACCCCAATTTTATATATACACTACTACATTACCTTTATTTGACTATAATGCAACAAAAAGGGGCGGGGGCAATCACCCTTTCATGAATATTTTCAACAGTAAAAAGTTATGTTTCGAAAAAAAGTGGGCTTGGGGGCAGGCCCCATCTGCCCCCCACCTCCCCCGATGCTACTTGCCTGCATTTAGAGGCAAATACATTAGTGCGGGTATTACTGTCTTATGACAGCATTTAGTTTTTTTTGGATTTCCAACGTTTCGGCTTGAGCATCACTGAAGAGACATAATTTGTCGAAATGCGCATCTGGTGCATCAAAATTGATACCGTATATGATTTACATGCAGTGACTTAAATTTGATCATATAGTAGCTGACTGGAATTTCGACTTACAGAGAAAATATTTTTCATGTTTGGTTAGAGATCAATAATTGACTTTATTTACACTGAGAATGATATGTAAAGTCCTGAGAAAAATAAATATATGTATGCCTTATCATTTATAAGGCACGCTATGTGATATCCTACATATATTTAGTAGTTGAATAACCCATTGTAGATGCTTTGTATGAGTCATGCTTAGAAGGAAAACATCAAAACAGACAGACACCCAGAGTGTAAAAATACCATCAACAACCCAAGCTAAACGTCTGAAGTCCAATCAAGCTGCTGTGTCAGCAAAATCTGACCAAGCTGCCATTGATTACCAAAAACTCGCCTCAGAAATTCTCAGGCAACAGGGTCTTCCAAACTTCAGTCAACAGTGATCCACAGCCTGGAAATCCTCCTTTACAGTCATCGATTCCTAACACCAAAAATACAGGGTGTACTCTTCCACTTAGAGACAACTGATGAAAAAGAAATCAAGATCAGAATGCTGAATCAGGGGCAGTGTCATAGTCTTTTACATTAAGGACAATGTCACAGGCTTCTACATCATGGACAGTATCACAGGTTTCTACATCAGTGACAGTGTCACAGGCTTCTACATCAGGGAGAGTGTCAAAACTAGTGACTAGTATTTTTGAAGGAGAGGCAGCAGGCACTGTATCAAATAAAAAAAAAAACACTAGTAGTTATATCTCAATCACTGATAGCATTCCTCTTGGTGCAACTGTATCTAACAAAATTAAGTCCAAAATATGATGAAATGAATTCATAGATTTACGTAGTCTGTTGACTCACCAAGAGGAAGACCCAGTGACCTTATTGATCAGAACAGGAGTTTTTAATTTGCAACATAGTCAAAAGTCAAAAACGCCTTTGTTTATCAATCAGTGGACAGATGCATTTCTGGTTTTTACATGTAATACAATAGAAACCTACCGAGGCTCCCCACCTGCTTAAGTACATGTCATTTATAAGGGAACTGCAAAAGCTTCATGGAGATTCAGAGTGGCGAACATACGATAAGTCTTTCAGGAAGTTAAGGTTAACTGTAGACATTCCCTTGCAAAAGCATGAGGAAGAACCGCGTGGAAAATCATTGGCAAATTTCGAATCATCCATGACCTTTTTATCCAAAAACCAATTCTGTTAACACTCATATTCCAAAAGAAAATTCAGAGGTTCATTTTGACTCGATTGATTAGATTATAAATTTAGTGCAAAAGTATAGAACTCAATGTCTGATGGCAAAAAACTGATATTGAAGACGCATTCAGAATCATTCCAATTTGTCCAGATGATTATCCTTTATTAGGGTTTTCATGGCAAAGTCAATATTACTTTGACAAATGTCTACCAATTGGGGCGAGTAGTTCTTGCTAGATATTCGAAAAGTTTAGTGTAGCAGACAAATTTGACAAAATTAAAAGACATCTGGTACAGATTTTATAGAAAAAATCAAACCACATTACGCGAACTTCAATCCCTGATTGTTTTACTCAATTTTGCTTGCTCAGTAGTGGTTCAAAGGTCGTGCTTTCCTTCGACGTATGATCGATCTAACTTGTGGAGTAACTGAGACTGCTTCGTGCATACACTTAAGCAAGGAAACAAAAGCAGATATCCAAGCATGGCTATCTTTCATAAGCTGCTTTAATGGACAGTCAGTTTATCTTCCTCACAAGTGGTTATCCACAGATCATCTTACTCTTTACACAGACGCATCAAGGTCATTTGGTTTCGCTGCAATTTTGGGTCATTAGTTGTTTGCTTCTCACTGGGATCTTATGCTAAAAGATTGTCAGATTGCAGTCAAAGAGATATTTCCCGTTGTGCTAGCCATAGAGATAGAGGAAAACAAAATCAAGAATAAAGAATCCCATTCATGTCTGATAATATGGCGGTAGTACAGATTATTAATAAACAAACCTCAAAAGACAAAACAAATATGCAATTAATACGACGCTTAGTGCTAGCAACTTAGAATACAATATTCATTTCCGAGCAAAACACATTCCTGGAAAACATAAAGTTTCTTCTGATCCCCTCTCCCGTTTTCAATTTCAGACAGCTTTCCAGCCTGCACCTCGCTTAAGAGGGCAACAGACACCAATCCCTCAAGCCAGCATGACCATTTAAATTCATCAGCTTGCAATCTTCTGTCAAGGGGGCTTTCAAAGAGTTCAAGCACAGCATACAAAGATCATGGGAAATGCTATTGGGAACATATCCTTCCATTAAATAATTGCCTATCTCACCCCTATGTTATGTAACTTTTTTTTTCTGACTTATTTGACAATGGATGTTCTCCAAATAGCATTACAACACATGTATCAGTAATTAGCTATGTGCATAAATTGTTAGGGATGACAGATCCATCGGATACATTTCTGGTTAAAAAGGTTATGCAAAGTTGCCACCATTCGGCCCCCAGTAAGGATTCTAGCTAGAGTATCCATCACAGGTTCCATTCTACACAAGTTAATACAAGGTCTTCACAGTCTTCTATTTTTAATCAGCATCAAAGAATTCTTGTAAAGTCTGTTTTTCTTCTGGCATTCAATGCATTTCTGCGTCTAGCTGAAGTAGTGGTTAAGTCAAAAAGTATAACAAACACAGTTATACAGTTATTTAAAGAGAAGATTTTTTATTTTCTTGGATGATAACAGACCCGTTAAAGTCTTAATTGTCTTGAGACACTTTAAAACAAATAAAACAAAGTACCTGTTCCAGATCCACTTGAAGGCCTTAAAAGACTACAACATGGGCCCAGTGAATACCTTGTATGAATATGTAAAAATGTTTGGTCATCATACTGGTCCTCTTTATCATTGGCGGTAAACCAATCCCAAATTCTTTTGTAGCAAAACATCTTCAAAATACAATCCAGTATATTTGTCTCAATCCTGCACTGTTCAAAGCCCATAGTTTTAGGATAGGAACAGCTGCAGATACTGCAAGGTTAGACTTTTCTGTAAATAGTATACAAAAGATGGATCGATGGAACTCAGATGTTCTTCTTAGATACATTCGCCTTGAAAGTTTTGAAATATAATTTTTTTTTACATAGTGCAGTGTATAATATTTTATAAATAGTAAAGTACAGGTCAGTTGTTAACTGCTGTACTTAAAGAACTCTAGGTCTGTGGGGGTCTATTGTAATGTCAGTTCAATTCACCAGGTCAGAAGTAAACTGCTGATGGATCATACACCATTTACTCTGGTCATAAGTGCACAGATCAGAAGTACACTGCTGTGTAGCTTAAATCATATACAGGCCAAAAGTAAACTGTTGTGTAGCTTATATTATACACAGGTCAGAAGTAAAGTGCTGTGTAGCTTAAATTATACACAGAGCAGAAGCAAACTGCTGTGTAGCTTAAATTATACACAGGTCGGAAGTAAACTGCTGTGTAGCTTAAATTATACACAGGTCAGAAGTAAACTGTTGTGTAGCTTAAATTATATTTAGTGATGCTATGCATCCTTAAAACTGTTTCAGTATGTTTCAAAATAGTGATGGTTTATATTTGTACAGTTCCTGACACAATTTCATGTTGTCAGGATAACTATTGCATTTTGTGTTGACTAACCTTATAGGGCTAGTCTATTTTGGTTGGCGTTTTGCAAACTTTGTGGGCAGCTGTTTTATTATTGAACGCCAAAACTTTTTGCTTGTACTGTAGGCTATATATCTTTTACAAAATTGTTCTGTTATTTCTTACATTATTTTGGCATGTAACAGGGGAGATTATTATACATCTTTACGTTCTGATGTAAAGAATGCGAGGGTTGTTGGAAAAGTTTGTAGACAAGTTTTACTGTGAGTGCGCTATTTTGCGTGAAACCAATAAAACACTATACACATCTTCCAACAAATATGCAAAGATTTGGTTTTCCGACGATCCTTTAAAATATTACAGTTTTTTTATTTAGATAAAACATGCTTCACGGAGCATGTTATCTTTTCGCACATTTACATTACATAGACATTTCTGGAAATTAAAAATTGCACTGTTGTAGCGCGAAACATTTATGATAAGTCACGTGCTGTTAGAATAATGATCATGAAACTTCATTTGGCGAAATTTTGAATTAGCTTGGAGGTCATGACTGTTTTATCGCTAATTTTAGACGACCAATACGTAAAAACAAAGTCAGGAAATTCAACGTCATTGAATTTCTTGGAGCACAGCGCTATTAAAAAAAATATGTGTGCAGACTGGAAAATACCCGAAAGAAACTAAAATGTTCTTGATGCTGCTGGGAATGGCCTACACGTATTTAGGACCAAAGTGTTCAGTAGCTTAATAAGAATGGAAGGATTGACATTTTTGATGATCAACTCTTGTGATACTCCAATACACCGCTTATTGCATGGATTTTGAGCCTATGGACTTTGCATTGTTTCCATATACTATATAGACATTGATTTTAAGATCTCACTAACAGCCCACACGCCTAAATAAGACATTTTAAGAAAAATTACATGTCTTTATATAGTTATTTATATTTTGAGTAGGAAAAGAACAGGAAAAGTCCACAGAAATGAAAAGCTTAACAAGTTTGGAAACAGGTCGTCACGTCACCTAACGTTGCTCCGGGAATCCTGTGACCGCACAATAAAAACTATCGTATATTTTCAGACTTTTAGTAAATGGACCTAATTTTTTACATACTAATGATTGATTTATGTTGTTTTACGTCCCATTCGAGAATTTTTCACTCATATAGTGACGTCACCATATACCAGTGAAGGGCTTCAAGTTTTGACCTTTACTCGGTACTAAGGGCCATTGAGCAGTGAGGGATCTTTATCGTGCCAAAGCCTGTCGTGACACGGGGTCTCGGTTTTTAAGGTCTCATCTATATACAAATAAACAAAAGGTTAGAATTTAATCAGATATACGTCATTCTTCAAAATACACATTTTTCTGTAAATTGGCGTGTCTGCAAACTTTTCTAACAACCCTCGTATTTGTATACGATAAGTTTCTATGGATCTGCCCATTTATTGTATTGTTAATACAAATATTGTGTTGTGCTATTTAGTCCAGGAAAGAAAGCAGTAAAATCTTTGGAACAAGATAATATATGAACAACATGTATAGCATAAAATTATTTCAACCGGAATTTTTTACGATAATTTGTTTCATTGTGCAGTCGATAAATTGGTGCTGGACCGTTAGATTGTTTAAGAATAACGAATGAATTTACACATGATTATGTATCATCCCTTGTGTTATACCACTGATTGGTATGTGCACAGTGTTGACAGATCTACGTGTTGTTTGTTCATCTTCGTGTTGAATATCTATACATATTGACTAAAAATTTCCAGGTAATTATCTAATAGTATTTCTTTTTTTTTTTTTTTTTT